CTCTGCCTCCCAACACTGTGCTCTTACGCCTCTGTGTTCTGCTCTTAGTCCAGATCATCTTACAGTTTATTCTCTTACCTGATGAAATCCACTTCCCCTCCAAGGCCTATCTCATGCAGATCCATCTAACAGATCACGACTCAGCCTCACTGGTTGACACCACCAGTTTTCATTTATTTTTGCAATTCTCTTATTATACACATTATATTAACTCTACTTCCATTGTAATAGTTAACAACCTTATTTCCTTCATGGATGAGGATATGAACCTATTTATTCTCTACAGTAGTTAAACCCTCTGCAAAGAGTGATACTCAATGTGCATTCATTGGATTTGGGAGTTATGCTTACTTAGAAAAGTAAGCATAATATATTACCTATAACAGAAGCTCTCTCATAGGATGGCTACAAAGATTAAATAAGGTATGGCATGTAAAGGGTTAATAACAAGTCACCATTTTATCATTATCAACAATAGCTAATTTTTTTTTTTTTAATGTTTACCACATGCCCAGCACTGTCCTAACCACTTGTTATGCATGAACTAGTTAAACCAGGGTCTGATATGAAAATCTTTCATCCCCCATGCACAGAGTACATGAGATACAGATGTTTATTACATGACTGATAAAGAAAAATGGCTCTGATGGGGCAAATTTTAAATTAGCTGAATTGGCCATATTATTACAAAGTTGACTTGAAAAGATAATGAAATTTCTGATATTTCACAATGTAGTCTTGAGGATCAAAAAAATTCAGGATATGCAAAAGCTTACGAAAACTTGCAAATCTTAAAAACGAAAGGTAGCATTGCACAAATCTGAATTCAGTGTTCAGGACTACTACCACATGAGAAGAAAAATGACCCTGAGAATAAGTATCCATTTCCTCAAGTGTCAAATAAGCCCAATCATGGGCATCTACCACATACAGCTGAACCTGTACTATAGCACAGGACTGCTGTGAAGACTGAACCAGAGAATGAGGGTAAAGTGCTCAGGACATACTAACAATTAAACATATCTATCGACAAACTTTGTTTTTATCACGAGAAGATGGTCTCAATGACCAGTAAGTGAAAATGAGGAAGACGATCCAGAGGTGATCCAAATTTTCTCCGCTACACAGTTTTATCTTCCCGTAAATAGAAAAACAATGGCAGGTTACACTTATTTTCTCATTGCTCTTTTATAAAAAAATGAAAAGGTACATAAATAAATAGCAAAAGGCCCAGAAAGGTATCAGGAAAGAGAATGTGAAAGCTCAGATAAGCCACAAAACATGTATTCATTTTCTAAAACTTCAGGCGTTGAAACATCTTAGAGTCAAATCAAATAAAAAACAAATTTAAAAATTTTTCTTTATGCTTTCTCTTTTTATATCTTTTAGGTGTAATTTTAACTTGTTCTGTTCATTTTAGCTTTTTAAAGATGGGAAAATGAGGAAATAAATCACTAAAGATTTGAAAGGTAAAATGCAATAGCAAACCAATAATTTTATTTTGCCAAGCATAATTATAAAAGCATTTAGCATGAGTAGATAACATATTAAAGAAATCATTTAAATAAAGTTTAAAGGATGGTGTAAAAGTCCCTTGTGGTGAGTCTAGTTTCCCAGTATCATATTACAAATCTCTTTAAAGAATATAAGGAAGCACAAAGCTTGAAATTAAAAAAAAGACAATGATGACATAGATGGAAATTAACATGCTCTGTAGCAGTTCATGTGCACAATCTACTACACTTACAAGCATTTCCTTTATAAAATCTGTTTGTGCAAATGCACCAAAATAATCAGTTTCTCAAAATGATTCCAAGGCACTAACGAGATTTCCTACCCCAAAAATGACTCCCCAGACAAAAAGCCTAAGTATGTGTGTCATCTGTTTTAGATCAGTACAATCCAGGCTTTGAATGCTCTGGAGGAAGATTTAAAAGAAAAGACAGAGGCCAAGTGGTGGTGCCATGTAGGCTGGCTACAAAGCTGCCCATACAGAATAGCATAGGATAAAACCTGTATGTTCCACTGTCAGTGCAATTTCCAGAAGATTTTTGGAGAGACTTATGCAGATCAAATTTTAATCTTGTCACGAAAAGATGTTAAAGAACACAACTCAGATACACTATCATCATAATTTTATGAAGGAAGGATGTTTTAATATCCTCAAGAATAGGAAGGTCATAATTTCAGAATGGACAGTTTTTAAATTAAGTTAGTGTTAATTAAACTCTCTACACTGTTCTTATCTTTCCTACACTGGTGAGACCATAGTGTTCACCACAGGCCAGTATCATCCATGCTCCAACAGTTTGCAGTCACTAATAGTGGTCTAAAATATGCCAGACACCCCATACAACTTCAGTAAGTGGGGCACAACTTTTTTATTGTGAGTGAGTAAACCAAGGGAAAATGACAATAAATACCTCCTTTACATAAGATAATCTGTTCTAATGTAGAGCTCAGAATGCTAAATATTTGTTTCTATTATCTATCAATGTCTAAATGCTTTCATTCTCCCAGAAAAGCACAGTAATTAAAATGGCTGAATCAATGAAGTCCCAGTCATCATATATCTCTTGTTCCTTGGTAGAACAAGCATCCAGAATATCTACTAAAAACATCCCCCAAAATCATTAAGTATATGCATCAAGTTTCTCCTGTAGAGTTCAGGGTGTTTCATAATTACATTTTGTGGAAATATTCACAGAATTATCATTATTATTTTTGTGTTTTGGGTGAAAGCTTACAGAGAAAATTCACTTTCCATACACCAGTTCACATACACTTTATCTCATGACATTGACTACAATTTACCCCAATGCTCCCCTGCTACTTCCTCCCTATAGTTTCCTCTTCACCGTGTCCTTCCCTCCATGCACTCCTGCCTCCTGAGCTATGTCCCTGTACATACACAGCCCTTCTATTCTCCCATGGTAGTTCTCTCCAAGAAGTGTAACTACCTAGTGTAAATGTTCACCTCATATGCCTGTCTTTTGTTTGGCTGGAAGCCACAGGAGATACTCACAGCATTCTTAATATACACGCATGGAATAGACATTAGGTGTGCATTATAAAAAGTGAAATGAATGGACAGAGAAAGTGAGAATTAGAAAAGTTATGTTCAATTACTAGTTCATAATATATTCTCATTGGCTGAATTGAAAGATTAAATATACTTTGTGTGGTAGTTAAGGTTGTGTGTCAACTTGGCTAGGCCTGGTTGAGTGGCTGGGCAGCTGAATGTAGTTATTCCCCATGGTGAGACTGGTAATTAACTCCATGGTGGAATCTATTGGAGCAGCTGGGTAGCTGCTTTGGGTATGTGGTCTGCTTCCCATATATAGAAAACAGCTTTGGGAATGGTCTCTAGCTTATGGCACCCCTGAACCCTGCATGTAGCCAAATCATTGTTCAACAGCCTGCCCTGCTCTGCTGATCTTGGGACTTTAATGGACTTAAATTAATGGCCTGCCGTGTGGTTTGGTAATACTGGGACTGTGCCTTGTTACTTGTTGACCTTGGGTTTGTCAGTCTCAGCAGCCAGCAGCTGTCTGAGTGAAGAAACACCTCCAGCTTCAGTGGGCCGGGAGCAAGAGGCAGAGCTGAAGCCTAAGCTTGAGGGGCTTTCACACAGCCCCTAGAGCCCAGCACTTTGAACTCAGACTTCTAGCCTCCCATACTTTAAGAGCATAAACTCCTGTTTGTTAAAGGCCATCCCATTTGTGGTATCTTCTCTTAGAGCGGCACACAGTTAACCAGAACACTTTGAAACTTATTTTTTAATTAAATTCGTTAATTTTAACTAAAGTGGAATTTTGATTAATTAAGGAAATACCATCAAAATTTATTCACAAAGTGGCATTCAAAAACTGGACAAATTTTACTCCTGTATGAATTTTTACAAAATGCAATGTTAAAGCTACCACCACCACCTCCAGGATGCAGTGCTCAAAAAAAGAGTTAAAGTGAGAGTATATACATATGACATATACAACATTAGGCCATATGCTCAAAAGATCCCAAATGGAATGTGCTTACTGACTGACCAGCGGATTTTTGAGATGGTAATTTTCCACTCTCTACCCTCTGCTACCTCTATTTGGATTATCCTGTCCCTCATCTGCATTTTGATCACAGGTCTCCACATTTAGATGGAAATAAGAAAAGTTTGAGCATTTTAATTTTGTTACCAATTAGGACCCAAATTTTAAGACTGCCTATGTCGAAATCTTAGCTAAAATATTTCATTGGTGGTACTAATAGACCTAAATTTCAAACTTTCAAGAATGGTATGGTGTGGTAGCCAATAGCACAGGCTTTGAATCTGACTGTCTTTGAACCCTGGCTCCACAATTTATTAACTGTGTACTTGGAATTATTGCTTAATTCCTCTAAGCCACAGATTTCTTATCTCTAAAATGGAGATATTAACAGCACCATCCTAACAGGGCTGGGAGATTAAATGGAATAAACATTGAAGGCAGTTACAACAGAGCCTGACAAATGTGCTCATTAGTGTTAGCTATGATTACTCTTATTATTAGTGCTACACCAAAAAACCAAACTCACTGCCGTCGAGTCAGATCTGACTCACAGAGACCCCTCCTTGGGTTTCTGAGACAGTATCACCACGGAAGTAGATTGCCCAATCTTCCTTCTGATGAGTGGCTGGTGGGTTTGAACCATCAGCCCTGTGGTTAAGCAGTCAAATGCCTTAGGCATGATGCCAATTCCCAGAGTACTTGAAGAATTCCCTGCATCTATGTAAGATTCAATAGAGCTGAACATGGTTTAAGTATCCTATCTATTGATTGTGACACAGAGAATTTCAAAAGGGGAGAAATATTCTGAGTTTAGAGAATCAGAGGGGAAAAAAGAAAGATTTAACAGCAAGAGCGCATAGCATTCTTTACAATAAATGATATCTCTCTGTCAAAAACGAAATACTGAGGTTGTATCCTGTTAGCCTCACAGGAAATTTTCCTTAAAGCCACACTCACCCCTTGTTCATCCAGTTTCATGAGCTGCTCTGTGACTTTGGGGGTGTTGAAGGCCAACCGCAAACACTGGACATTGAGCTCAGGAATCACGTGCTCCAGCACTTCTTTCAGGGGAAGCCCTCTGGCAGTCGAGTGCTTTGCTGTGGAGGGGACGGCGTCCTCCAGGACTGACCCTCTCAGGGTCATGAGCTGAAACAGAGACGAGAGCTGGGGCGTGAGAGGCGAGACCAGCATCATGTGCACTGAAGGCCCAGACTGCAGTGACTGACTGGTTAAGCTGGTGAGGCAGAGGGAATGAGACAGTGATCTAAGATACTTCACATCTGAAAAATGAGGCCAAGCCTTCCAGAAGACCCAGGCAACTCCACAGGATCCCATACTCAAGCCTTTTGAGGACATTTACTGAATGCCAAATACAGTACTTTGTCATACAGATCAGTAAGATCAAGGTGTCTACATGGCTCCAGTATACCAGTGGCCAGACAAACCAGAAAACTAGGGTGATATCCCACAGAAACATCTAGAAAATAAGTGCTTATTTGCATTTAGATTTTATAACTTTGTGAATTACAAAAGGGGAAGGCTAAAGTTTTGAATTTCAGAGTGTATACCTGGGGCAAGCATAAACTCTCAAATCCCCAAATGCTGCTACAGCAGGCAATGCTTTCAGTCAGTACAGCAGCAGAGTCAACAGCATTTGAATTCATTTAAAATTGTCCCTTATTTCTTAAAGTAGCTTCTGTTTTTATGAAATACTAACTTAAGACTTTTCCCCATGTAATGATGACCTGTTTGAGGAAAGTCAATCAGACTAAAGCCAAAAACGATCTTAATTTCCCAAAATTTTCACTTGCTAAAGTTATTAATAAGGAGCTCTGGTGCCACAGTGGACAAGGCTTTGGCTGCTAGTAAGAAGGTCAGTGGTTCAAACCCCTAAGCTGCTCTGTGAAAGGAAGATAAGGCAATCTACTTTCATTAAGATTTATAGCCCTGGAAATGCAATGGGGGTCACTATGAGTCAAAATCAACTCAATGGCAGTGGGTTTATTAATATAATCTAAACACTAAATAATGACCTAAGGAAAAAAAATTTTATTAGATTGAAAAAAAATTCCGTTAAGTACGTAGGTTCTAAGTTATCATACTGTGAACAGGAGCTACAAAAAGATAATAGAAGCATACATGCTGGGGGATGTTTATGGAGTGTATGAGGGTGAGAAGTGAGATAGTCACAGCTGCAACCCAGGAAGAGTATATTTATGAAGAAAAGTATTAATAAGTTCAGGTCCTAAGACAGTCCAAAGGCAGGGAAAACAGATCATACTGCCTCAGGGTATAAGGAAAAGCCTTCATGGAAGGGGTGCATTAGAAAGGGGCTATGAGATATAGAAGAAATTCTACAAAGAGAAAAAGGCAGAGAATAACATGAGGATGTTATATGGAGCTAGGAAAGAAGGCAAGAGCAGGAAGCAGCAATTACTACAGTTCAGCCAGATGTAAGGACAGTTCCTAGGTGGTGGAAATGCTGAACACACTCAGCTGGTAACTGAAAGGCTGGAAGTTCGAGTACACACAGAGGCACCTCAGAAGAAAGACTCAGTAGTAATCTACTTCTGAAAAAACAGCCAATGAAAACCCAAGGGAGCACAGCTCTACTCTGACACATGTGAGGTGGCTGGAAGCTGAAAGGGACTTGGATGGCAGCTGGCTTTCTTAAAGACAGTACAAGAGGAGTGGATTCTAAAGCTAGGAGGTGAGGGGAAGCAACCCCAGCAGAAACCCTGAAGGCAGACTGTGAGGTGTGCACCTCAGCTGGCCACCACGGCTAAGCTCAGAACTTTTTTTTTTTTTTTTGAGAGGGAACAATAATGTATATGTCTAAAAAAAATTAAGTTGGTAAATAAGATGAACTGCAAAAGGAAGAAAAGTAGAGGCAGAGAATACAGTTAGAAGGAGGATGTATCAGCCCTTAAGTTAACAGAAAAGAGGGCATGATATAGGATGGGCAGGAAAAATGAAAATCAAAGGAAAAAAGAATCCCAGGGAAGAAAAATATATCACATTTGGCAACTGATGGAGAAGAGATGAGGGTAGGAAAAGCATCAACATTCATCAACACTTTAGCCTCAATACAGGAAAAAGGTACTGAGCTCTTTCACAGTTTATTCATTTGATTAGTATCTGTACTATCATTTGCAAATTATTTCTTTTCAAATAACACTTGTTGTTGTTGTTATTTGCCGTCGAGTCGGCCCCGACTCATAGTGACCCCTCCTTGGGTTTCCGAGGCAGTATCACTACGGAAGTAGGATTGCCCAACCTTCCTTCCGAGGAGTGGCTGGTGGGTTTGAACCGCCAGCCTTCTGGTTAGCAGTCAAGTGCCTTAGGCACTATGCTACCAGAGCTCCTCAAATAACACTAGTCAAAAAAAAAACAAAAACAAAAAAAAACCACCATTTTCCTATTATTATCTATTCTAAGGAGCTCTAGTGGCACAATAGGTAAGGCAATCAGCTGCTAAACAGAAGATCAGTGGTTCAAACCCAATAGATGCTCCACATGAAATAAACTTGAAACTTACACACACACACACATTTATTCTTCTTAAAAAAATCATGGAGAACAGCTGATTAACTCAGCTATTCCATGCATCTTCTCACACATTAAGTACATGACTTGGGATGGGGACCACAAAGGCTGGGAGTATCCTCAATTTAGAAATCAAGGCCAGAAATGCTAATATTGCATCATGTGCCAGGGAAAGGCAGCAGCTAACTTCACCAATGCCAAAGCAGATGAGAAGAATGACTCATTTTTAACACCCAAATCAGTACCATCACTGACATTTTGGTTAATAATTTTTAAAACCAAGAAGGGAATCCTCATAAGGCCCTGTGCTCCCATGCCATTGAGATTTTGTTCATAAACAGATACGGCTACAAACATATGCAAGATCTTTTTTTATCTGTCTGTGTTTTGTAATAACTGCTTCTACTGAAGGAGCTCTGGTAGCATAGTGCCTAAAGCACTTGACTGCTAACCAGGAGGCTGGCAGTTCAAACCCACCAGCCACTCCTCGAAGGAAGGTTGGGCAATCCTACTCCCGTAGTGATAACTGCCTCAGAAACCCAAGGAGGGGTCACTAGGAGTCAGGGCCAACTCGATGGCAAGTAACAACAACAACATTGAAATGAGATTAATTTGTATTTCTATTTTCTTGATGGCATTCACTGAAGCAACTGGGCATCACTGTGGTGACCACATTTTCTTCTTTTTTGAAGGATTTACTAACATGAGAAGTCCCTACAAAGGCATAACCAAACCAAGAAAAACCAAACCCGCTGCCGCTGCGTCAGTTCTGACTCATAGCAACCCTATAAGACAAAGCTCCTAATTGGTAAATCGTATTTCCTTGTACATTTACTGGGTTGGCTTCAATGAAAACCATGAAGTTGAAGTGCCTGTCCCACAAAATCCAGGAGCTATGAACAATGATCAGCATCCAGAAACATTCTATCAGAGAACTTCTTCAAGTTTATTTCGATGAGAAACCTGATAAAGATGTTATGAACTAAGCCATTTCAAATGGTTTTTTTTTTTTTTTTTAAGGCGCTGTGGCAGTACACTGGCTAAAACATTCAGCTGCTAACTAAAAAGTTCAGTGGTTCGAAACCACCAGCAACTCCATGGGTGAAAGATGGGGCAGTCTGCTTCCATAAAGATCTACAGCCTTGGAACTCTGGGGGCAGGTCTACTCTTCCCATTGGGTTGCTATGAGTTGTAATCAACTCAATGGCAGTTGGTTTGATATTTAGTTTGAATGGATTATTTTTATTAGAAAGAAGAAAATTACACAAAATCAAGTGGCAATTAATTGTTGTTGAATAAACACTGGTGGAAGGAAGGAAGAGAGGGAGGGAAGGAGAAAGGGAAGGAGGAAGAGGGGGAAAGGAGGAAGGAAGGAAGAGGAGAGAGAGGGAGTGAAAGGGAGAGAGGGCAGGGAGAAAGGAGGGAAGGAAGGTACTATTCTAGGCATTGGGCCAGTGGCAACGAACAACAAAGACGAAAGTCTGCACCCTTATGGGGCTTACCTTCTAGTGGGGGAGACAAAAAATGAACAAAATAAATGAATACGATATGTGAATGTGTTAAATGTTAATAAAAAATATAAAGCATGAAATAAGATATGAAATTTTAGGAGAAGGACTATAAATTTTAGATGCAGTGGCCATAGCAGGCCCCACTGACTTGTGGGTAAAGGCCAGAAAAAGTGCAAGAGTGAGTCAAGAGGATGGCTGGGGGAGAGCACCCCAATAGGAAGGCAGAGGGAGTGCCATGGTTAGGAAAGGGAAGGAGGCAGTGGCTGGGACCGAGTGGGCGAGGGGGAGATGCGTCACACGGGCATGGTCTCCTAGGCTACAGCAAGGACACGGGTTTCACCGGAGGGAGATGGGAAACCATTAAAGGGCTTTGAACTGAAGAATGACAGGATCTGGATTACATTTCAAAAGGCTTTCTGCTGGGCTGAAAGGACACAGAACTTACGGAAGAAGGAGGAGATCAGTTTCTTGAAAAAGATGGTGGTTTAGAACGGGCTGAGGTGGTGGGGGTGGGAGAAATACTTAATTCTGGACATATTTTGAAGATCGAGTCAACAAGCTTTGCTAACAGACCAGATTTGAGGGCCAGAAAGTGTGCACGTGCACGCGTGTGTGTGCACATGCGTGTGTCAAGTGTGATTTCAAGGCTTCTGGCTAAACAGCTGCAATAATAGAGGTGCCATTAACAGAACATTAATTTGAACATGAAAACAAGTGAAATGAACAAAATTTGACTTGAATGTTTTAAAGGCTAAGGAAACAGACCCAAGGGACATAATTCAGTGGAACGGTTAACAGGAAAACAAATGAAATGTCTGACCAGAGAACCGGATGGAGGCTCCAGTAAATGAAGGTGGGAAAAAGAGGAGCCAGTGATTCACCAACCAAACCGCAGGGCTCCTGTCAATGCAGGTTGGGTGTTAACATTGGAGAGAGGCTGTGGCCAGACAAGAAGTGCCTGTAAGACAAGCTGAGAAGGGACGACTTGTGGAAACCAGTAACAGGATGCGAGAAAGCCAGGGCCGACTTAGAAAACTTCAACCGTGGCAGGAGGGATAGGGTAGTATAATGACAAGAACATGAATTTAAGTGGATAAAAAAATAGCATTGGAAAGGAAGAATAAGTATGACAGAGGCTTAAATCAGAGTGGTCTTAGCAGCTACAGGCATAAGAACAAGGAAGTCAAAAGACTTGGAAGCAAAAATAAGTGAAGCTCCTAGAAATCTGGGGGCCCAGGGAAGCTCAAACCAAACAACCAAACTTACTGCCATCGAGTCAAAGAATTATCTACAGCCACTCCAAAAACACAATAGGTTCTCTGTGCTTTTCATGTTCAACCAAAGAATTTACATTGCTGAAAGATTAGCTTCGGCGTGAAAAAGAGTACACTAGGGCATGCTAGCTCTTTGGTTCTCTGTGGCCACTATAAACAATGTATGAGTATTAAAGTCTTGCCTTTAAAATTCCTATTTTTAATTTCCCTGGAGTTCAAGCTTAGGAACAATTACTAAGCAAAGCCAACCAGTGAAACTTGTCGGGCATTTAATGGGGGAAATGAAGCCAAATGCCCTATTTACACTAGTTTGAAAGCCATTATTTTTTAGATTCCTCAAGAGGGCATTACGAATTACTGGATAACAACAATCCTCAAGTGAGCTGAGAGGCAATGAACTGGCACAACTCTACATAAGTTCAGGAGAGAAAAGTACCACCTCCAAGTCCCAAACTTATTCATGAGTTACAAAAAAAAAAAAAAAAAAAAAGCAAACGGTTAGCTGTTTTTATTTTTCCTTTTCTAGTTTAACTTCATTTGAAATTAAAAACTCATGCGTACGTCGATTCCTAAAAGACTCAAGAGCCTGTCTCATCCACAGTTAGGTGGCCTTGGTTCAAATAGCCTGGAATCTGGAACTCAGTGAATAGGTCCAAGAGATAGGAAAGTGAAAGAGGTGAAAGAAGGAGACTCAAATGCCTGTTCTTTGGTCAAGAAATGTCAGCTTGGAATGGGAGACTTAAGTCTTGAGTGGCCTTCACTTATCCTCTAAAGCCCTGTTCCTCAAGCTGGCTGATGCATTCTGCCTGCCCCAGCAGGGCAGGCAGGGGTCTCACTTGGGATTCTGATGGCTCCAATTTCCTTGGGCCACTCTTAATGGACCTATCTATCTCCAAATCAAAACACCCATTCATTCACCGAATCTATGCAGATCTAAATGGAGAGAGGGAATCTGTACCTAACCATCGGCAACAAATGAATGAAAGGAGCCCTTTGTTAATTCCAATGGCATTTGTAACCATGTGCCATTAAATTTAATTGCTTCATTCTTGTTTTCCCATCACTTCAATCGAGCCTCAAATCTCTCATTTGCAACTTACCTCACTAGTTCTGAAAATTATCCGGTAGTTGTATGGAGATCCATTTTCTTTCATTTCTTCCGGTTTTTCCCTTCGAATGCTTACAGCCACTGGACCAAGATTCTCGTCAGCCCCAAAATAGTTCCAGTGTTCTTAGGGAAAACAAGACAAAACAAATTAGAAAATGTACATAATGCTTTGAAAAATGTTACATTCTGCTCAATATGTAAGACTGTCACTCAACAACTACTCTACATTAATAAAATGTAAGCAAGTTTAACAAATACTAAAATTCTTGAATGAGTCAAGGACTAAGCGACAAAGGCTCAGTTTTAGCAGGGCTAACACTGAAACATAGGTGGCCTGCTAAGTTCCTTACTACTCTGCAACCTCCTACACTGCTTCTTTCAAAAGAAAATTGTGTTCTCTTCCATTTTAAATAGGTTACATTGGATGTCCTTCCCTGCCAAAGGGAAGATTTGTGTCAGGGCTACTTGGCTTTTGTTCTTTTTTTAAAAAAAAATAAATACTAAACTTATTGAGAGGGAGCTCTGGTAGCATAGTGGCTAAGGCACTTGACTGCTAACCAGAAGGCTGGTGGTTCAAACCCACCAGCCACTCCTCGGAAGGAAGGTTGGGCAATCCTACTTCCGTAGTGATACTGCCTCGGAAACCCAAGGAGGGGTCTCTATGAGTCGGGTCTGACTCGACGGCACATAACAACAACAACAACAACAAACTTATTGAGAATAGGATTTGAGGAAACAGTGATTTCCCCCAGATTAAAAATTATTTCCAAGAATCAGAGGGCAAGAGGCCTGTGCATCACTCAGCAGCACTCAGCTCCCTAGGAAGCCCATGCACGAGGAGGAGGAGCTCAGAGGCAATGTGTTTCAAAGTGTCCCAGGAAGGTGGGAGTCTTGCCTAGGGCTCCATCCTTACCAAGCAAGCAAGGCAGGCAGCCAATAAAGTCAGTGAACCTGGAAGGAGTGTGAGTTGAGGCAATGGGCTTCTCCTTTGTGATCAGTGTGACCAGGGGACTGACAATTCTGGGGCCTCTTCTCCATGCTTTGGCATTGCCCAGGGCCCCAAACCTTAGTACAACCTCAGAGTGTGGAGGAAACCTCCAAATAACTGCTGTTGAATTAACCTTCCTCCTGACCAGATGGAAGGTCAAGACCAAAAATAAGCTACAGAAAATAAAACAAACAAAAAAGTGGTATTTACTATGCTTCTTAAAAATATATATACTTTAAAAAATTAAAATTGCTGATATGTACAGAGGATGTCCATAGGTTAGGAAGTTCATAAAATATGGAAACATATGAAAAGTTAGAATAGACAACTTATTTTTTCAAACCTCCGAGAAACATTTACTGTACTTTGTTCTATTTCATTTACATGTGACATGGCTAAATGATCAAGTTGTAACATGGTATATTATTATCACAGAAAATGCATAAGTATTTGAAAATACACGTTATTCTCATACAAAATAGAGTAAGCTTTGAAAATCCATGAGTGTAATAGTGAAGTATACTATGTAATATTTAATCATGTATTTTTAAAATTTAGGTAACATATGAAAACATTTTGAAAGTACTAAAGAATGATTACAGAAGATACAATCATAAATATTGCAAGCTCTCTGATAACAGTATCTTGATCCATGGAAATTCAAAATAAGAAAAACACAATGGGGACACAGGCAACAAACATTTTGTAAGTGGACAACTAAGGAACAACCCAATAAATGTCACAGAATCCATGTACAAACACTCGAGTACACCCTCAAAGCACAGCACATGAGAATCACACTCAGGTTATTTACTCTTACTTTGCACACAATTCTAATAAGCTTGGTCTGGTCTTCAAGCCCACGGCTTTATTTCAGAGGGAACTCCAGATGCTGGCAAAATCCAGGGTGTAGGGCTGATATAGACTTGCATGCAGACAGCAATGTGATAGAACAACTGACAACAAGGAAGAAAACAGAAAGGGAGGAGACAGAAATAGTATAAAAAAGCGGACAAGAACTTAAAGAAAAACAAAACAGCAGTCTGGGGCTACTTACTGAAGGAGCCAAGAGCTTGACACACTTCATTAACTTCAGAGGATATTTTAATATTGAACAGAATAGTGGATGTTTCAAAGATGAGAGTGAGTCACATTCATATTCTTTTCCTTGCACATCTTGGACTCAACTGAGACCTGGCTCTCTAGAAATTCCTCAAACACAGCCTGACTACCACAGGTCTGGTAGCATAGTGCCTAAGGCACTTGACTGCTAACCAGAAGACTGGCGATTCAAACCCACCAGCCACTCCTCAGAAGGAAGATGGGGCAATCTACTTCGGTAGTGATACTGCCTCGGAAACCCAAGGAGGGGTTGCTATGAGTCAGGGGCGACTTGACAGCACATAACACCACCACCACCTCCGCCGCCGCCGCCGCCACCACCACCACCACAGGTGGGACAGAGGTCCACTGCTGCTGGGGAAATTCACAAAGGTATAGCACCACCATCAAATCCTCACTAGGAACTGCAACTGGTCCTCAGACTCTCCCTGGTCAGGGCTCTCTGCCCTTCTCCAGAGCAGGTATTTCAATCATCGTTCTCAATTCTCCTCAACCTCCCCAACCCATGTTCTGTCTCAGCAAATGACAATGCTGCCTACACCACTTAAAAAAAAAAGTCATCATTTCAGAAGGAAATGTCCTCATTTTCTACCATCATACATGCACACTTACCTACACGCAGACCCTTGCTTCCTTTTCTCTACAGTCCAAAGATCTCCCCTACATTCTGGTTTCCACTCATGCCACCTTCCCAAAGACGGATACCGTGATCAACCTCTCCTATTTCTATCTTTCATCTTGCTCATTCCCACATCAGTTAATCAGACTTAAGTCTCCATCTTTAAACCTAAAACTTACCCTTACCCTCTTCCCTTATCCTATTTCAAGTTACCTCATTTCTTTCCTTCTACTGGAAACTTCTTGAAAGAGCTGCCTAATCCCTCATTTTAGAATACTATAATCTGAATTCCCTTGCATCAATGACTTTCTTATCCTTAAATGGTCATTTTTGGACTTTATCTTCCTCAAACTTTACATAAGCCTGGCTCGGTTGATCATTTCATTTTTTTTTTTTTTCCTAGAAATGCTCTTGTTTCCTCACCCTATCCTGATTTTCCCTCAAAAACTTTAGCTCAGTTTCCCTTACTCTTTCCATTTTTAAATATTTTGTTGAGTCTCAGAAGTTCAAAGGCCATCTCAATGTTGATGACACTCAGAAATGTATTCTCCATTCCAGACTTCTCTAAACCCTAGATGTTTACATATACACAACAGAACTCTTTCTTTGTTCCTCTGGTATCCGTAAAAGTGAACCCATCATCTTCCCACACAGACCTACACAGCTCTCTCTGCAATCACTATTTCAGCAATTGGCACCACCATTCCCTCAGTTGCTCATGTCAGATCCATTGTCATACCCTATAATCTAGTTCCTAAGTATCTCTCAAACCTACATCCTTTCATACTTTTTCTCCATCCCACTGCCACTGACTAACCCTAGTCACCTCTTGCCTGAATGTTTGTTTTCTAACTGGTTTGTTCTTTTCCAATTTGTTCACACAGCAGCCAGATGATCCTTCTAATATGCAAATCTGACCATCCACTCTTAAGCTTAAAATCCTTCTCTGGTTTCCACAAAGTCCTTAGATACTCTCCAAGCCTTCCGGAAGGCCCTCACAACCTGTTATCAGATACCACTCCAGCCTCAACCCAGACCTTTCCCTGCTCTTTCTAAACTGAGAACTAACTATCCTGAACTTTTCTATTTCTCAAACATACTGTCCTTTCTCACCTGAAGAACTCTGCCTACATTTTTTCCACCACTTCTCTTTAGCTGACTAAATCCTCCCATCCTTCACATCTCAAATCTTACTTTGATATCCTCTAAAAGAGTGACTGTACACTGGCGCAAAATGAAAACGTTTACTTGGTATTAACAATTCATTAAATAGTGTAAAGAATTAAAAAAATACTGCAAATCAGTAAAACCAAGTATTTAATATATATCAAATACAAATATTTAGAAAGCATACAAAACAAAAACATAAACTTTCATAGCATTAAGCAACCATTTAGTATAAATTTTAGTATTAATTTATGTATTGAAATAGAAAAACAAGGTATTATTAAAAAAAAAATAAAATAAACCCTACATAAAAATGAGGGAGCTCTGGTAGCATAGTGGCTAAGGCACTTGACTGCTAACCAGAAGGCTGACGGCTCAAACCC